GGGGGGGGAGGGACTCCTATATATAGAAGGGCTGGGATGCTCTGCAGAATATTTGAAAATGACTGATCCTTGAAAGGTACCCGAGGCTTGTCCAGGTGGCCATGGCAACTAATGATTTCTACCCCTAAAAGGTGTCAATAATCAGAGTGCTAAGTGTTGGAAGTCAGATATTGAACCGAAAAGAAAAAATCCTGATTTACAGCTGTCATTCTGGCTGTCATCTGACAGAGTCAAGAGCCCCTTTTTGGTAATGAATTGTTTTATTATAAATATATTTATCTATCTACAGATATTATACGGACCATTTTTGGAGCATATAAGAGTTCCTATCAAGCTTTGTAAAAAAACTGTCATCAAACATATTTTGTTCTTCATGTCTTATACTTTGTACTGATTATCTATATACCACAATGCACCCTGTTTATCGAACTCAGAAAAGGACTGTGCATTATGAGAGTACACAGCACACCAGCTCACTTTCTACCTGGTCATTTGTATTCAAAATAATGGCTACTCTAACTTGTATGTCATAATAATGAAGAAATACAAAGCGTGCGCGCGTGCTTTGTGCAGTTATAAAGCACGCGAGGGTTGGCAGAACGAGAGAGAAACAAGATAGAAGTGTTAGGAAAAGAACGACACGTGGCGGGGTGCTTCTCGAGTGTTCTGCAAATTACAATAACCGTTATTTTAGATAAGAATGACGCAACTGAAAGTGCATGCGCATGCTGTGTGCTCTCATAAAGCACACGCTCCCAACCAATCAGAACGCCAGATTCAACAGTTATTTTATAAAAATAAAATAAAAAGCCTGCTTGCTGTACTTTGTGAAGTTATAAAGCACTTGGGCATTGGCAGACTGACACTTTAAGAGAGGTGTCACAATTCTCTTTTCTTCTGACAATCTTCTCGTGCGTTATAACTCTACACATCATGCTCTTTCACAGACTTGTTTCTATTTCTTCAATATCTATTAATTACCTGGGCCGACAGGGCAGAAAAACGACAAGCCCGCTACTTTCACGATTTTTTTATTTAACTGAGTTTAATACTCCAAATTTTTAAGCGATTCATTTGTCACTGCTGCTCGAAACTCGTGACGAAATTTTGTCAAATTAGAGTAAAGGCTACTTATTAGTATTCACGAAAATGTCAGTTTTTCTGCTGATCAAAATATCACCTCTCTCAAAGTACACGGCTTTATATCTCAAATACGCATTCAATAAATTTTGGTCGCATTTGATATTTTGCCATTTGGCTCCAAAAGAACGTCTTTACAAAACATTGAGCTTGAATACGTAAAGCTGTCCTTATGGCGAAAGGCCAAAAACCATTCTTCTGCCCTGTCGCCTGGGCCCCTTTTTATCCCGGATTCCCTCCTTCCATCCCCCTCCCCACTCCCCTGATGATTCTAGTGGCTACAGGTATATACTATGTAGTAATACTATGTGAAACAGATATACACCTAGCCACAGGGAGTCCAATAGATCTTATTTGTCTCGGTGTAATGTTTTCCCATGATTTTACAGACCACATGCCATTCCCTTTAGAATAAGATTCTTCATTTGAGTTGTATCCATGTTCATGTGAGTCTATTCGATTGTTTCATCATGTGCAACCATTAAACAAAGAAATGCTACCCTTTGAGATTGAATGGCATGTGGTCAATCCCCAAGTGGATTTGGTCCATATTAACTATAGAGAAAGGGAGCTCAACACAATAGGAAAATATAGGTTAGATTTACAGCTGTAGTATTCAATGCCTGTAAAGGAGACTAGAGTCCAGCAATACCCTGAAAAAACCTGTGGGTTAATCTACTGTAGCTAAGGGCATGGCTAACTCACAGATCAAACCCTGAAATAACCTCTGGGTTGATCTAAGTCAGGGCATGGGCTAACTCACAGATAGAGCCCTGAAACAACCTCTGGGCTAATCTAAGTCAGGGCATGGCTAACTCACAGATTGAACCCTGAAACATCCTCTAGGCTGATCTAAGTCAGGGCATGGCTAACTCACAGATTGAACCATGAAACAACCTCTGGGCTGATCTAATAAGTCAGGGCATGGCTAACTCACAGATTGAACCCTGAAACAACCTCTGGGCTGATCTAAGCCAGGGCATGGCTAACTCACAGATTGAGCCGTGAAACAACCTCTGGGCTGATCTAAGTCAGGGCATGACTAACTCACAGATCGCAAGCCCTGAAACAACCTCTGGGCTGAGGCACAGCTAACTCACAAATCACAAATCGAACCCTGAAACAACCTATGCACTGATGTAAGTCAGGGCACAGGTAACTCACAGATTGAATGCTACACTTTCTCAAATAATTAATTGACATGTTTTGAGGAGGGAGATTGAGGAAAACTTGAGAAAAACATTTCAAATTTAAATCAAGACAAAGGCCTAATGAACTACGGTACAGGACTGTTATTCTCAAAACTAAGTAATACCAAATCCATGACTTAAATTGGGTGAGGTGGCATGAAGAGATGGGGGTAGATGTGGTAAGCAATGATTATTTGGCATTTTTTCCTTAAATATTATTACCGCCTCCTCCATGGTTAACCAACCATTCAAGACCGTCACCAAGTTTTTAAGCACTCCCCCCCCCCNCCCCCCCAGTATGTCCCCAAATCATAGTACCCCACCCCCTGCCCCTTAAATAGACTTGTACTAAGTTAATTAATTAATTGATTGATGAATCAAATTAATTTGTAACTTAGTTGACAAAAATTTTGCAAAATTAATATCCTTAGGCTAGCTAAAATATATATATTAACTGTCATACTAACTCGATTAAATAATCAAGAATTAATTTCTGTAATGTTCTCAACGAGTACGGCAATAAATATTACACTAACCATCCAAAATCCAAGGAATGTTGACACCAGTAGCTCCATTTTCAAGGAAAATGTAATCGCTAAAGTCGCAGGTACCCAAGCAAAGTTCCGAGCAGGAATGTGAAGAAGGCTGGAAACATTCTTAATATGGTAGAAGCTTGCAATCTGGTCAAATATTCTAAGCAAAGCCTGCAAATAATAAAAAAAGAAACAAAACACAGTTAACTTTGATTCTAATTTATAAACTAAAAAGATTTGAGATTATTTAAAACAAGCTTGCTAGTAAAGTAGCATGATGTACAACTTATTTTTTTAGTTCGGTATCTTAAAATTTTGATTGGCTGAGCGAGCGAGCGGTCAGTATTATAATCCCATCTATGCCTGCAGGATGTCCAGTATCCTGACTTTGGGCACAGTAATTGCCAATCAAAGGGCTTAAAATAACGGCTGGGCATCAGACAATGTCTGCCCAGAATTGGAACTTGTCCGGTCAAATCTTTGCATTTGTCAGTCATTTTGACCAGTAATGTTAAGCCAGAAACGAGGTATGACAGAGTTAAAACTAATTTGTTGGCTGGTTATCATGACCGGTGACTTACTGGCCGTTATTTTAAGTCCTGCTATGCAGATCTCCTATGTAGCCAGTAAATAGCCTCAATATTAATATTATTTAGAAAATTAACAATTTATTTCTTACCAAAATTAAAGCTGTGAGGAAAACATTATAGAAGCCACCATGAGAGGAGAGGCCATTAGCAATAAGGAGGTCAATCTCTCCATTGAACAAGATCACAAACGGTAAGAACAGGACACAGCCGATGTTAATGGAATGGATAAGCTGAGAAACCGACATCTAGGAAAAAATGTATGACAACTATTGAGTCAGTTTTATGAATACACTGAAGCCATTGCTGAAATGATCTAATAGCCAGTCCTTTTTTCAGGAGGGGAGCACTTAATAGCCAGTGGCTAACAAACCTGTGACCCTCATTCTGTGATCGAATTGGAATTTAGGAGTTGATTTTTGAGGAGGGAGGAAAACCGGAGAATCTGGGGAAAAACCCTTGAAGCATAGGAGAGAACCAACAAACAACTCTACTCATATACGACACCATACCTGGCGGGACTCGAACTCGGGTCGCATTGATGAGAGGCGAGCTCTCACACCGCTACGCCACCCATGCTTCCCAAACGTCTGTTCACACCAGACTTCCCTGCTAGCAGAGTCTCTCCTCTTTCTCTCCCTTCTTTCAGGCGGGGAGGAGGTAGACCYTGCTGACTTAGAGCGTTTCCTTTGATACACTGATGTCCATGATCATGGATGAACAAAACCAGTTTTAAAAGTGGTTTTTACTGGGCACACGTAGTGCACAAGAGCAAATGTAACACACCGTGGCGCCAAATGTTGTTTGACGAGAGCGGCTGTTAAAATCATGACAGCTTTGCTAAGTTACACCACGCAGGCGTGACAAGCATAACGTCCTACATTGGCAGAGTTTATTTTTCTCACTCCACCAAAACAAAAGAAAAATAGGCTCTGCTAGCAGGGAAACGACAGACCTTTTTAAACATGTTTAAAAGTTGTTTACTTTAACTAGTGGCCGTTAACACAATGCGCATGACTAAGTAAACAATTTTCAAACCTTGTTTACAGTAACTAAAACAACCTTGGGGAAGCACAGGAGGTGTAGCAGTGAGAGCGCTCGCCTCTCACCAAGGTGACCAGAGGTCAAGTCCTGCCAGCTCAAAAAACCTTTTTTAAGCCTGTGTAACCTGATTCTGAAATGCTTGAATGTGAGGCTACACAGAAGAAAATTTATTGTTATGGAAAACATGGCTGTGGTGTGAGAAAGGTCAATATATTTTGCTAATACAAAATATGATGCCTAGTGCATGGTATTTCAGGAATCCAAAAAAAAGGTCTAATATTAGATGAAATAGCAAAAGAATTATTCTTTACCTCTTGGACAGTTAAGTAGTTCTTGGAGGTCAGCACAAATATAGCGAGCGATAAGCCATGAATCAAACCAAATATTCCATGCGAAAAAGTAAATTGAAAAGGTATATATGGATCATTTTCTGAACAGTATAGGACAACTAGTATAAGTGAAACAAGTGTGACAAATACAGTAACCAAGCTTGCATGTGCTTTTTCATGGAACCAGATATAGGAAAGGATCATCATCAGTGGACTAGAAGCCAGGCCAAGCTAGAAAAAAAAGATAATTTTACCACAAATGTAAAAAAAAATTTTTGCTTTGGAAAACACTTTAGGAGCTGTAAAGCACTTAAAAAGCAAGAGACACATTACGTCATGCCTCATGTTCCTAAGCTTGCTTTTCATGTGCTCTACAGCTTCAAGTGTGTTATCATGGTACAGCACAGCAACATGTGCTCATATTTTAGGCCAAACAAAAAAAATAAGTGTGTTTCCTGTTGCACGACCGATCCTAATTTTCTTGCGGATTTTTGCCGACCCTAATATTTTTACATTCCTAAATTCACCACAGGGTTCCCAGTAAACTCATTTCCACTTTTATATCAGTAAAATCTGACCTACCAACTCCAATTATTTTTCTTATGCAACAGGAAACACACTTTTTGTTTTTGTTTGGCCTTATATTTTTTAATTATGTAAAGTGTATATTCCTTAATTGCATGAATACAATATATGCCAACCTGTAGCACTTCTGGTCCACCTGATGTGTTTTTGTAGCCATTAGAATAATATTCATTTATTGATATGTGGATAACATAGCAACAAAGGACTGGAAGAGCTTTAAGATGTCTCGTCTGATAAATAAAACTGGGAAAAAAAGCAACAAGATTATTTTTAACCTGAACAAAGGAATTGGATGGATGGAAGGATGGATGGAGGGGTGAAGGGATGTATGGATGGATGGATGGATGGATGGATGGATGGATGGATGGATGGAGGGATGGACGGTAACTACCTGCCCCTTCAGCCAGGGGCTTAACAATGATATGTGCATTAGATCAACCAACGTTGGGGCTGTTTCATTGTTATTTTTATCTTTATAAGCGATTTTGAGTCACATGATTGGACCAAAATTTCCTTTCAATGTTAGTGACACCAGGATGGCTGTTTGATCTTGAAGCTTACGAATTAAAGGTCCTTATCAATTTGGGGGGGG